CCATCAGAGTCTGTGCCAGATGGATGTGAGTAAGAGACTTGACTCTAAAAGACCCTGATTTAAATTACCTCTCAGTACCAGTTCTGAGGTGTTTTACCCTTGAGACTTGTGCTTCATGTTCAGGCCAACCTGAACAACATTGGAAGTCTCAAGCGCCTTCAAACCGGTTCTTTTGGCACCAAAGTAAGCTCCTGAGTCTTCAAACATAGGCCATCTGAACTGGGGTTGTGGTTTGCTCCAGCATTCACAGCCATTGAGGAAAGAGGAAACTTGGAAAGGCTTCTCAGCTTCAAACACCTTGGACTCAGGACTAACTGAGACTGTAACATATATTTTCCTTCACCCCTCTGAAGTTTCCAGCTCATTGCTTTAAAGAAACAACTCTTTGTGATCAATAAACTTATTTTGAGTTATTTAAAGTGTTTTGGGTTTTTTGGGAGTTCCAGTTTCCTATAGGAGGGCAAGAAGCAATCCCCTGGGGAAAGATGCCATGCCCATCCCTCCTTCATTAAGAATAATAACCCCCAGGCGCGATAGCACAAGAATAACTCCAGTCCTTCTGTTTCTGTATATAGAAATTATCTTCTCAGTTTGAGAAAAAAACAGGAAGCAAGTGGATAAGGTGATAGAGTTGAAAACAATCAAATATGGTATGGAAAAGAAGTATGTAGGAAGACATTATTCTGACTGTCTCATAATGCTAGATTAGTTTTCAGTTTTGTGTTATTTTTCTTCTAGAGCAACATTACCAACTTATGTAAATACTGTTTCTGTGCATTCTAAGCATTGTTAAGATGGGATCTGTTGTTTGCAAAGGATCTGTTATACCTCTCTTTGCCCTTCATCTCAAGTAGGCTGGGAGCATAAAAAGTATGCATAATGGGTTGACCCATATCATTGTTGTGACTGTCATCATTATGGAATATGAATGGCAAAATAACTTTCCTCTTGGTAACAGAGATTAATCTACAGTTCGGGGCTTACATGAGACAAATGATCAGTAGAAATTCGTTTGAAGTGTTCTTTTAGAAACTGAGACTTTAAATATATGATGAAAAGTAGGCTTGTTCAATCCAGATAAGCCTTGACCCATTTCGTATTCCAGATTTTGGTGGGGATCCCAATTTGTTTTTTTGGGAGCCTCCCAAAATCCAGATACCTGCTTTCGCTCTGGGGTACTGAAAGATCTGTTTTCTGTTGGCCCATTAATTGGGGGGGGGGGGGGGGGCTTCCCAGGCTTCCCTTCCCATCATTTTAGGCATTTGATCTGTTTCTACTCTAGAGGACAGGTGCTCAGCTGCAGGCAGGCGCATGCTTTAAGGAGGCTTCTTATCTGTTTTACTCTAGAAGAGAGGCATTAAGCTGTGGGCAGGGGCACACGCTTTCTCTCCCGGGCCTTTTATTGTTGTCCATGAGGACTCTAAGATCTTTTTCACATGTACTGCTGTTGAGCCAGGTGTCCCCCATTCTGTATCTTTGCACTCATAGACTTTTCTTGGCAATATTTATTTAAGAATGGGTTTGCCATCGCCTGAGAGAATACAGTTTGCTCAAAGTCATCCAGTGGATTTCTTTGTCTGAATAGGAATTCAAACTCAGTTCTCTTGGGATCTCTTCACACTAACCTCAGTTTAGCTGGCAATTGCTTGTGAAACAGCAGGTGCGTGGGGTGCCTCACAGCACCCCGCAGGTCCTCCCTCATTCTTCCATAAGATGGGGGTTGGCATCCTCTCCCCATCATGTTTTGCTCCATTTCCCCCGACCAAAAATGTCCTTTCCCGCCCACCAAACCCACTTCCCTCTCTGTTGTGGGTGAGGAAGCATTTTGTGATGCTTCCATGCCACTTTGGGATGAATGAGGATTGGGTTAAACCAGTGTCGTCTGATGGCACTCACCAGGCCCCATCCCCGAAGAGGAGCCAGGGGCAAAAAAAAAACAAAACAAAAAACCCAGTGTGATGAGGTGGTTGAATTCTTACTGCAATACTCAAATCACTTATGACCTATTTTATAGTATGTTATAGTAATCATCTGTTTGTATCTTAGTTGAATAAAAATGACACTTACTACGACATATTATGATGATTTTTGTGAATTCATTTACTTGACAAGAAAGTGAAAGCATATATTTTCCCTGACCTCCTCTACCATCTTGTCAATACCAGTGGTAGAAAAAGCAAACAACTTGAAAAAAGTAAAAAAAAAAAAAAAGCTGAGCTGGGTTTCTGTAAAGAGGAGCTTTTTTGTCAGAGATTTTTAAACTGAGGTATGCATGTATGTTTTGCTGTAGCTGCTCTCTGCACAATAGTTATTTTTCTGCAATCAGAATAATGAACAGTGAGCTGAAAGAATATTGTAGAATGCAAAAAATCTGATACCAAATTTGTACATTATGTTTGAAGAAAACCCTTGGACAAAGGATATCAAAGCTTCATGAGAAAAAGAAGAAGGGCTCTCCTAGTAGCTTAATAACTTACAGTCTGGAAGTAGAATAAAGGTTGAAGAGATGGTATTTTATTCCTCTACAGAGTAATTTTAGTCTCTATCCTCAGCCCATAATATTATATTGAAAGGCCTCCAAAATGTGACAAAGAATCTTTGTAAAGGAATATAGAACATAATGTTTTCTATCTGTAATACATATAGCTTACCTTAAATGTTCCTTTAGAGAGGAAAAAAAATATATTTCCCCAACTCCTTCAGCAACAAAAATGAGGACTTCTTTTGTCCTGAAATCTTACTTAACATAAAGATACAAATTTGGTATGATCACGGACTTAGACTCTTAAGTCTAAGTGCTGTAATTAGGTTTCCTGATTCTTTCATTTCAGACATATCCTCTCATTTCTAGCATTTTCCATTATACCTTTTAGTACTGTTATTCCACTTCCTTCTGTCTCTGGAAAAACAAGTTCTTCTCTGCCCAATTAAACTATGTAACAAAAATTGAAAAAAAAATCTGTTCCTGGTTTGAAAGTATTATTTCCTGTTTAATTGTTGTACTTAATTTGAAAGTAGTTGTTGTACTCCAGAAACTTAGTTTTTGTGACTGTTACAAACTATGAATTGGCGGAGACTCTGTGAAATATTCATTGAAAACTTTAGCAAAATGTTCTGCAGGATGTCCTACAAAACAATTTTTTGCAGTTTAATAAACTTTCCCCATGTTTTTTCTATGACAGAACCAATTATTTTATTGGTTCTGTGGGAGTCTGTCTTTGAAGTGTGTAGAAACGGGGGAGGAAAACCATCTGATGAAGTCCTAAGACTCTGCTTGGCTCGGATTGAACCAGCCAGCACATAAGCCAGAGTTTGTGTTCACACAAATACTCATAATAAGTTTTTTTTGCAGTCACTGTTCATTTTTTTCACATGGAAATAATGGCTGTATTAATTTGCTACAACATAAAAAGGGAGAAAATGGAGGATGAAAAATCTTGCAGCACATTGAACAGGTTAATATTTTAGCATGTCCAGAAAAGTTTAAATGCTCTGCAACTGGTTGAAATACTCTGCATTTTCTCAAAACTTATCTCCCACATACTAATTTCCATTTTAGCCAGTATCTACACTTACTGTCTGCTATCTAATTGATTGCACATGTGCTCCATAAAGTCAGTTCACATTCCTCTCTGTTGTGTGGTTTCTCAAGTGAAACAATCAGTTGTAGATGGTTGTTTGTTCCTCCTCAAGAGCTAACCCTAACCCTGACTTGAATATAAGCGAAGGGGGGGGGGGGAAGGCTTTTTCCATCTAAAAAAGGGCTGAAAACTCGGCTTATACTTGCGTATATATGGTATTCAATATACTCAGCAGAATGACAAGGCTTACTTTAATTTATGTTATAAGTATTTGTCTTATTTGTCCTGAATAGACTACTGCAATGCTCTCTATGTGGGGTTGCCTTTGAAGACTGCTTGGAAGCTTCAAATGGTCCAGCGTTCGGCAGCCAGGTTACTAACAGGAGCGGCACTCAGGGAGCATACTACTCCTCTGTTGCACCAGCTCCACTGGCTGCCAGTTTGCTACCGGGCACAATTCAAAGTGCTGGCCTTAGCCTATAAAGCCCTAAACGGTTCTGGCCCTATTTACCTCTCCGAATGCATCTCCTCCTATGAATCGACTAGGACACTAAGATCATCTGGGGAGGCCCTGCTCTCTGTCCCCCCTGCATCACAGGCGCACTTGGCGGGAACAAGAGACAAGGCCTTCTCAGTGGTGGCCCCTCGGCTGTGGAACGCCCTGCCTGCAGATATCCGATAGGCCCCCTCCCTGCTGGCGTTTCGGAGGAAAGTGAAGACCTGGCTGTTCGAACAAGCATTTGATTAAACAGTGTAATTGAACATAGGAACACGGAATAATGGATGACGAGACTGGATTCTGATTTTACTGTTGAGGCGCTAATGAGTGTTATACTGATGTTTAATGATTTATGTTACAATTGTTTTTAATTGCCCTATACTTGTCTCGTGATGTTTTGTATCGATTTTGTTCACCGCTTTGAGTCGCCTGAGGGCTGAGAAAAGCGGTATATAAATAAAGTAAGTAAGTAAGTAAATAAATAAATAAATAAATACATTATTGTATTCAATGCTAATCCAAGGTTAAAACAACAAGCGTTTCAGGCCGGGTCAAAACATTTTTTCTCCATTTAGAATTGGTATTTCATTGCACAAACAAAAAGGGATTGAATATGAAGAAAATACACCGATGATTATAAACTAGGGGCAAAGGAAATATGGCCCTTCAGATCTTGTTGGACTGCAGTGTCCATCGTCCATCATCCATTGTCCAAACTGTCTAAGGATGAATTGATTGCACTCCAAGAACTTAAAGGGTCAGCATCCCTGAACCTGTTATCAAAATATCTTTTTAGAAAGGCACAAAATGAAAAAAATGTGTTGCTTCTGTGGTTCTTGGTTTTGTAATGTCGCATCAGCATAGGTACTAAGATTCTTTTGATCATGTACATTTTTCTTTTTTGTTTTTATCTTTTTTAGGTGCTTTTGCATGCAAGATGGTGCCATTTGTCCAATCTACTGCAATAGTTACTGAGATCCTCACAATGACCTGCATTGCTCTAGAAAGGCACAATGGGATTGTCCACCCACTCAAAATGAAATGGCTGTACACCAACAGAAGAGCATATACAATGCTTGGTAAAGTGTTGGACTACTCTACTGTGTCTCCATATTTCTAGCTATTTTCTCAATTTTGAAATGAAAACTTCAGAGCAATCATCTTCAACCTTTACCCACCAGATATGTTGAATTACAGCTCACATTGTTCCTTATTCACCACATGTGTTGTCTGATTGAACCAAAAGAAAGATTTTAGTAAGGTCTTGGACTTTATTTGTTAATCTCAATATTTATTTATTTATTTATTTACTCCATTTGTATACCGCATTTATCAGCCTGGAGCGGCGACTCAATGCGGTTTACAGTAAAAATAAACAGTAAACAATATATAAGACGTACATCGACAAACAATACACATAATCATCAACGCCTACTTAGAATCAGATCCCGTTCTCATAGTCCTTAATTCAATCCTTGTTCAATGCCGTCATTATTGGGGTGGTTGTTACTGCATAGCTAACCGAATGCCTGCTCATAGAGCCACGTCTTAACCCTCCTTCGAAACACCAGCAACGAAGGGGCCTGCCTGATGTCCACTGGTAACGCATTCCATAGCCGAGGGGCCACTACCGAGAAGGCCCTGTCTCTCGTGCCCGCCAACCGCACTTGTGACGCTGGCGGGACCGAGAGCAGGGCCTCCCCGGACGATCTTAACGCCCTTGCCGGTTCATAGGTGGAGATGCGTTCGGAGAGGTAAGTGGGGCCGGAACCGTGTAGGGCTTTATAGGCTAAAGCCAGCACCTTGAATTGTGCCCGGTAGCAAATTGGCAGCCAGTGGAGCTGGCTCAACAGGGGGGTGGTATGCTCCCTGAGAGCCGCTCCCGTTAGCAACCTGGCTGCCGAGCGCTGGACCATCTGAAGCTTCCGGGCAGTCTTTAAGGGCAACCCCACGTAGAGCGCGTTGCAGTAATCTATACGGGATGTGACAAGAGCGTGGACTACCGTGGCCAAGTCCGACCTCCCAAGATACGGGCGCAGCTGGCGCACAAGCCGAAGCTGTGCAAATGCTCCTCTGGAAACCGCCAAAACTTGGGGTTCCAAGGTTAGCGAAGAATCCAGAGTCACACCCAAGCTGCGAACCTGCGTCTTCAGGGGGAGTGCGACCCCGTCCAACACAGGCTGTAACCCTATACCCTGCTCGGCCTTCCGACTGACCAGGAGTACCTCTGTCTTGTCTGGATTGAGTTTCAATTTGTTCACCCTCATCCAGTCCGACACAGCAGCCAAGCACCGGTTCAGGACCTGGACAGCCTCCTTAGTAGTAGGTGGAAAGGAGTGACAGAGTTGGACGTCATCTGCGTACAGATAACACCGCACCCCGAAACTCCGGATGATCTCTCCCAACGGCTTCATGTAGATGTTAAATAACATGGGGGACAGTATTGAACCCTGCGGGACCCCACAAATCAATGGTTGTGAGGACGAGCAGTTGTCCCCCAGTAACACCTTCTGGGAACGATCCTCTAGGAAGGACCTGAGCCACTGTAAAACAGTGCCTCCCAGGCCCATTCCCGCAAGGCGTCCCAGAAGGATACCGTGGTCGACGGTATCGAAGGCCGCTGAGAGATCCAGCAGAACTAACAGGGACACACTCCCCCTGTCAAGCTCACGCCGGAGATCATCCACTAAGGCGACCAAGGCTGTCTCGGTACCATGCCCCGGCCTAAAGCCAGACTGTGCCGGATCCAGATAATCAGTGTCTACCAAGAATGCTTGGAGTTGTGAGGCCACCACACGTTCCAGGACTTTGCCCAAGAAGGGGAGATTGGAAACAGGCCGATAGTTGACGAATTGAGTGGGGTCCAGTGATGGTTTCTTCAACAGCGGTTTTATAACAGCTTGCTTTAAGCTGGCTGGAATTTTGCCTTCCCGAAGGGAGGCATTAACCACCACCTTCACCCACTCGGCCAATCCCCCTCTGGCCTCTTTTAGAAGCCAGGATGGACAGGGGTCTAGGATGCATGTGGTTGCTCTCATCCCTCCAAGCACCTCGTCCACATCCTCAGGTTTCACAAATTGAAACGAATCCATCAAAATCGGACAGACAGGTGTTCTCGTCACATTCTCAGAGACTGCCGTTAACATGGTATCCAGACTTGAACGGATCAAAGCGACTTTGTCCGCAAAGAACCGTGCAAATGCTTCACAGCGAGCCGCCGAGTTGTCAGGGCTCCCATCCGAAATGGTGGGCTTCAACAGGCCTCTGACAACTCGAAACAGCTCAGCCGGACGGTTCTTTGCGGACGCAATATTGGCCGCAAAGAAAGATTTCTTTGCTGCCTTTATTGCCACAGCATATGCCCTTAGTAGGGCAACAAACCGTGTTCGGTTTGACTCGCTCGGGTCCGACCGCCACACACGCTCTAGTCTCCTCTTATTTCGCTTCATTGCTGCCAGCTCCTCGGTGAACCAAGGAGCTGGTTTAGCTCGGCTACTTGAGAGGGGACGTTCCGGAGCGATCGTGTCTATTGCCCTGGTCATCTCCCCATTCCAGAGAGCCACCAGGGCATCGACAGGATCACCAACCGAGGCAGCGGAAATTCCCCAAGAGCCATCAGGAAGCCATCTGGATCCATAAGCCTCCTGGGGCGGACCAACTTAATGGGTCCCCCACCTCTGCAGAGGTTAGGAGGTGCGGTAAGTCTAAAGCTGACCAGATGGTGGTCGGTCCATGGCAACGGAGAGATGGATAACTCCTCAACCCCGCCACCTTGCTCCCATCCCTGACAGAAGACCAAATCCAGTGTGTGCCCAGCACTGTGGGTGGGGCCAGTTATTTGTTGGGACAGCCCCATGGTTGCCATGGAAGACATGAAGTCCTGAGCCGCTCCCCCTAGGGCAGTCTCGGCGTGTATATTGAAGTCCCCCAGCACAAGAAGCCGTTGGGACTCCAATGACAGGCTCGAGACCACCCCCGCTAGCTCAGGTAGGGAGACTGTAGTGCAGCGAGGTGGGCGGTACACTAACAGAATCCCTATTCTGTCCCGGTCTCCCACCCTCAGGTGGACACATTCAAAATTAGTCGACTGAAGGATGGGGCCTCTGGTCAGGGGGATCGAATTTTTATAGACTACCGCTACTCCGCCTCCCCGCCCTCCAGGTCTCGACTGGTGCTGTACGGAGAAACCTGGCGGGCAAAGCTGGGTTAAATTAACTCCTCCAGCTTCGTCCAGCCAGGTCTCCGTAATGCACGCCAGATCTGCCCGTTCATCCAGAATTAGATCCTGGATGAAAGATGTTTTACCATTGACAGATCTGGCGTTCAACAGCACCATCTTCAACCCGGAGGGACCGCTGACCTGGTTACACCCATTTACTCTGTCAGGAGACCGATTACATTTTATTAAATTATTTTGATTTCTTTTCCTTCCCCTAGGCCGAATTTGAATCATTGATTCTCTACTGTTTTTGAGCCGAATTGATGGCCGAATTGGTCGCCGAATTAAAGGTCTCCCTTTCCCGCATCTCCCCCTCCCCGTCAAGACTACTATAGGGGCCCCCCGGCCAATGGAATGCTCCTCTTCCTCCATATTGCACTTCAAGATTGCAAACTCATCCCATGATTTCCTCCAGGTTATCTCCTTCGTTATCTTCCCTTTCTGCCCTCCTAATCCCTTCCAATTATTACCTAATCCTGCAATGTTGTTTCTGAGTTCTCTCCACCCACTCCCCCCTCTTTCCCCTCCCCCGTTTGCTAGCAGTATTATTAGCACATACCACACTTTGAGGGGCGACATGGGTGTTCAAATTTTGCAGGTAATAGGATGCAGGCAATAAGGTGCAGATGTTAACGTTTTAAGTTGTTAAGTGCTTGGTGACTAAGTGCTCAGTAACTAAGGTGCTATAGAATGGCGCAATGGAGTTAAAGTGCAACAGTTTTTAAAGTGCACAGTTCTAAAGTGACTCAGTGGGTAAGTGCCAATGGATGGACGAGATTAGCAGCCTTGGGTAGGTGGCTCTATTCCTATGATAGTAGATAGCGGCAAACAGATTCTATTCCATTCACAGCAGCAATGCAAATTGTATTCTAGTCCTCAATTTTGTTTGCTAGGTAGCTCCTAGCAAAATGCTTCAGATTTTTTAAAATATATTTTAGTTTCTAGAGGGCACATATAAATGTGATGACTCATAGAATCATAGAGTTGGAAGGAATTCAAGGATGATCTAGTCCAGACTCATGCCTGTGTAGGAACCCATAGTAAATCATCTTGGAGAGGCAGCCATACAATCTCTGTTTAGATCAATCTTAATTAACTTGGGGGTCAGGACCCCCGGGGGGAGGGGTGTTACAAGGGGTATTTCAGAGGGGTCGCCAAAGACCATCAGAAAGGGGCTCTTTGATTGTAGGTGAATTATAAATCCTAGCAACTACAACTCCCAAATGTCAAGGACTATTTCCCCCAAATTCCACCAGTGTTCACATTTGGGCATATTGAGTATTTATGCCAAGTTTGGTCCAGATCCATCATTGTTTGAGTCCACAATGCTCTATGGATGTAGGTGAACTACAACTTCAAAACCCATGGTCAGTGCCCACCAAATCCTTCCAGCATTTTCTATTGGCCATGAGAGTTCTGTGTGTCAAGTTTGGTTCATTTCCATTGTTGGTGGAATGCTCTTTGATTGTAACTACACTCCCAAATGACAAAATCAATTCTCTCAACCCCATCAGTATTCAAATGTGGGCTTATTGGGTGTTTGTGCCCAATTTGGACCAGTGAATGAAAATAGATCCTGCATATCAGATACTTACATTACGATTCAGAACAGTAGCAAATTCTAATTATGAAGTAGCAACAAAAATAAGGTTATGGTTGCGGGTCACCACAACATGAGGAACTGTATTAAGGGGTTGTGGCATTAGGAAGCTTGAGAACCACTGGTTTAGATAAATTCAACAAAAGAGAGTCTACCACTTTCTAATATAACTCATTCTACTTTCAAATAACTCTTACCAGGAGGAAGCCTGTGCTTATATTAAATAAGAATTTCCTTTCCTATAATTTGAATTCAGCGTTTTCGACCCTACTTACACCTGGGTTAATTTCTTAAGTATTTTTCTACAACCTTTGAACTGATTAGCTATCTTGTTTCTTTTCTTTTCTTTTTTCTAAAGGCTACTGCTGTTTTTGATTGATTTTGCATGGAAGTTACTGTGAAACAAATTTCACACTCAGTTCTTTTATGCATTCATATAATAAGCCAAATCACAAACCTCCACCTGGGTGATGACAAGTAAATTTCCTAGTACACAACAAAGTGAAAGCAATAGGCCATAGATGGACAAACCAAGAGCTACAATATAATTAGGTGAAAAAATAGCAACAATAAGTTCAACCAAAATAGCAAAAGAACAGTTAAGCAAAACATAAAAACAGGAATTGCTCATGTGAAGGCCAAAATGAAGGGAACCAGCTGGTTTTCCAATAATGTTCGTGCCAGTACTAAAAAAGTTCTGCTATGTTTTCCAGACAACTAAGCATTTAAAGGGAGAGAAATATGAATTGTGCCCTCTGGTAATGAATGAAATAGACTGACAGACTCTCAATCCATTTTTGACTTTTGCCCAATTTGTTGTGCCTGGTAATAAGCCGGAAGCCAGTGTAATTCATACAGTGTTGGAGTAATTCATTCAGCAAATCTGTTATCTGTCAGCACTCTGGATTCAATCCAATTGCTACTTTCAATTAAAATATTCTTGTCAAATCACTGTAGACTAGACAAAAAAGGAAAATTGGTTTCACAGAAATCTTGTCAATATTTCTATACTAAGTTTTAGACTTCTTAGCATATCCAGATTGTTCTACAAATTAGCTAAAAAAATTGGAAAAGTACAATTTCATCATTTTTCTACGTTTATCATTATTCACTTTTGTAACCGAGTTTTGTTAAACGGAACTATTCCCCCCCCTACTTTCTTTTCCTTTTTCTATTTTGTTCTATTTTGAATCTCTTCTTTTCATTTAAATGTCTACTAAAACATGTTTTACATTACAGTGATTGCAGAATATATGTAAAGGGAGGGAAAAGTTCACTAATCTATGCTTTTTGTTGTATTTTCAATTCTTATTAATAACATAACATTTGAGAAAAAAACACATAATTCTAAGGATGTACTTGATTCTAATGATGATACTTTACTTTGGACTAGCAACTGCAATTGTAACTTCAGTTGTGGGTTGCTGGAATAATGGCTGCTGTTTTATGAGGACTGAGGGCCCTTCCACACAGCCATATTACCCAGAATATCAAGGCAGAAAATCCCACATTATCTGCTTTGAACTGGAATATATAGCAGTATGGACTCAGATAATCCAGTTCAAAGCAGATATTGTGGGATTTTCTGCCTTGATATTCTGGATTATATGGCTGTGTGAAAGGGCCCTGAGAGTAAGAAATGTTCTGTACCTAAATTTCCTTGACCAAACTGTGGAAATAAACAGGTTTCAGGTCATTACCATATATATATATATATATATATATATATATATATATATATATGAAACTGCATGAACACCAAGTACAAAAACTTACTGGCAGAACATGGGATGCAGACCCAAAATTAATAACAACATCAGCCCTGGCCTTTTCTTACTCAGCTGCCGAGTATGCTTGCCCTGTTTGGCACAAGTTTGCCGACGTGAAGCAGATGAACATAGCATTGAATGAAACATGCAGAATAATCACAGGATGTCTTAAACCTATGCTTGTTGATGAACTACAAGCTGGCTGGCATTGCTCCCCCCCCCCCCGATGTGTGACAGGAAGTAGCTGCTATGAGAGAAATAAGGTTGAACACTGTGAAAGCCATCCACTGCATGGCTATCGGCCTCTTCCCAGTAGATTCAAATCAAGGAAAAGCTTCACGAGAACCACCATCCCTCTTAACGTTTCCCCAGGAACAGCAAGAGTACCCCCCTGGGCAGTTAAACCAGGAAATCCCAAATAGATGCCCCCCCCCACAAGGGTCTGCCTCTAGGGGCAAACCAAGACTGGGCAACTTGGAAGTCCCTGAACAGACTCAAAAGTGGAGTGGGCAGATCAAAAGTCAATCTGGTAAAATAATCTTGTGTGGTTGTGAAGCTGAACAGAGAACTCTGCATCTATATGCTTGCCCGCAATGTCCTACCTCATGTACAAAGGAAGATTTTTTTGAGGCTACAGACAATGCGGTCGCTGTTGCCCGTTTTTGATCAAAAGATATTTAGCCGCTTATGCTCCTTCTATTTATATCAATTTAATACCAATTTGTGCAATGCTTTTGATACGAAATAATAAAAGGTCATTCCCAGTATAGTAAGCCCAGTTATTATGCAAGCTCATTGAACAGGGTTTCATTTAGATGCAGAAAGCTTCAAATACCATAGAATGGGGCTTCTTAAAATTTTCTACTTGCAACCCTTTTCCAACTGATAAATGTTTATGAAACACACACATACATATTAGGAATACAAACTGAACATTTAGTGATAACAAATCAGTTTTTGCAAGGCTTGCTAAACAGGCTGTAGGATTTTCAGCAGTCCTTGGTAAACCCTGCAAGTTGCTGCTAACAGATTTGTATAAATGGGTAGCATTCAGAAACTTTTTACTGTTGCCAAATTTTTCATGATTCCAACATTGAGCTAAGGGCCCAGGATCCACAGATTAAGAAGCAATGCCATAGAATCACTCCGGAGGACCTAGCAATACTTATGGAAATGTTCTCTTTAGGACTCTAGTTTTAATCTAGGATCAAATTGTGCCAGAAATTGACCAAACAATTATGCTGAAAATCTAGACAGAATACTTCTGTAGGCATTTTCTAGTTTCTTCAGAGCAGTTCTAAGATATTCTTCAGCTGGAAGCTCAAGACACTGTTCATTCCAGGTTAAAAAAAAGATTCATACTATGCAAAAATTGTATAATGTGAAGGGTCCTGGAACAGAGCTCACGCATAATACATAGGCTTATTCTATGTAATAGCACCTTGTGTGTGTGGCAGTAATGGCAGTGGAAGAAGAGAGAAAAGTTGCTTTGCCAATACATCAAAGCATTTTTACTCTTGTTTATGTCTTTGCTGCAGTAGGCTTCCTGTTTCCTAGGACTCTACTGGTGGCTTCCATATGTGCAGAATAATTTAATGAGTACCACTAGCGTGCACCATTATGAATCGTATTTAATATCCAAAGCAAGTCAGGTGTTGCCTACAATTTGGCATGGATTTGCCTTGTAATGGTAGATGTGGTGGGATATTTATTTATTTACTATATTTATACCCCACTCTTATCAACCCCGAAGGGGACTCTTATAACATCTAATACCAAATTACTTAAACAGGTCTGAAGTTGAAGATGACTGTCTCTTAATTCTTCAGTTCAATGGATGGGGAATCAGTCCCAAAATCAGATTAGTCTGTGTTTACCATTGGACTGGAGATTTCGGATTCTATAGTTAGTTTTTATGAAATTTTCCTCCTGAGCAGGACACGTACCTCACTAATCAACTTCCACCTGCTTGCAGTGTTTATTAATTACTCCATCTGGTCCATGTGGGTACATTACTAATTGATGTACATCACAAAACAAAGTAAATCTATCAACAGGCTGTTTTCACATATAGATTTTATATGTCATTTCTCTTAAAAACCAGCAATAACTCTTTCTTTATTTTCAGGCATAGTTTGGTTCCTAGCAGCAATCGTTGGGTCACCAATGTGGCATGTACAGCAACTGGAGGTACATTCGGTTATTTTGTGTGATTATACCCACATTGTGTTCACAGCAGATGACCTCTGTTATGACTGCTGCTAAAGATATCTATATTACAAAATATAGAAAAATCCCCCCAAAGTTACCTACATAGTGATCTTTGAAATGAAAGATAATGTGCAAACACAAATGAAACCTGTATCTGTTAAGGAGCAATAGACATCATACTGTTGCTATAATCAGAAATAGAAATGAGATATTTAAAAGACAGCTTGCTAGATTTATAACATATTGTTCAAAAACAATTTTCTGATAACTTGCCACATTATTTGGATCAAATTCTTGGCTCCCGAAGTTCACCTCTGCTGTTTCTGGCAATAAAACATAACTTTGCTATGAATTAAGGCTGGTCTTATGTATTAGGTGAAATGAAACATCCATCTCAGATAGTAGATTACTAACAGTTTGGAAGCCATAAAAATCATGGTGCTGCTGGTGGGGAACTGTAAGCTATTGAAGCGAACTTTAATGTTCCCATATCTTTCAGATCACCACTTTTGAAATAAGAATCAGCTGCCAGTCAGATTCCTTGTATGGAACTGGGAGCAGTCATCATCATACAAAGTAACTTGGGCCAGACTGGTGATGAATTCACACTGTTCCTTTTAAATTTATATTGTAATTTCTCATAACTTTAATTTTTTTGTTTCAATGAGTTAGTTGATTCATTAAGAACAAAAAACTGTGCTCTGCAGTGAAAAGTAAAAAAACAAACAAAAAGCATTCTCTCCTGACATTTTGCCCACATCTATGGCAGGCATCCGCAGAGGTTGTGAGATCTGTTGGAAACTAGGCAAGTGGAATTTATATATCTGTGGAATGTCCACAGTGGGAGAAAGAACTCTTGTCTGTTTGAGGCAAGTGTGACTGCTGAAACTGATGACTCTGATTAGCACTGAATGGCCTTTCAGCTTCAAAGCCTGTCTGCTTTCTGCTTGGGAGAATTCTTTGTAGGAAATATGAAACAATCATGGCTAGCTAACACCTTCCAACAAAGAATTCCGCCAGGTAGGAAGCAGCCAGGTTTTGAAGCTGCAAGGCCATTCAGTGCTAATCAAGGTGGCTAACTGCAACATTGACACTTGCCTCAAGCTGAAAAGAGTCCTTTCTTCCACCCTGGACATTCCACAGATATAAACCTCACTTGCCTAGTTTCCAACAGATCTCATTACCTCTGAGGATGGCTGCCATAGATGTGGGCAAAACATCAGGAGAGAATGCTTCTGAAACATGGCTATACAGCCTGGAAAACTCACAGCAACCCAGTGATTCCGGCAATGAAAGCCTTCAACAACACATCATAGGAGTTGTAATTTGGTGAAGTACCAGTTCTCTTTGGCAGAGAACGCTTGTAAAACTCTAATGATTTTGTAGCATTGAATAATAACAATTAAAATGGTGCCAAATTGAATTAATTCTGCAGTGTAGATGTACCCTTGGAAACTGTTTAAAAGGAAAATTAGGTGGTAGGATAAAGGATACAACAGGAAAAGGTTCGTTCTGTGGACCCCGAGATGAAAACCTGAGTCCTTGATCGTTGAATAGTGAAATTGGGTGGATGGTTGTTTTTTGGGATGACCTCCAAATTATGGGGTGACCTCCTAAGAAAGTTCCATTTGACACCAGCCTTGTTGACTTTTTGGCAAAGACCTTGTGTTATAAAATCATGAGGCCTAATTTGAGGTAAAGGTCCTTCTTTATATTGCTCCTCTGCTGTTAATACATTGTTTTACTGCTGCTCTTAATATAATGTGGGTTTGAAAATGATGTTCCTTGGTTTTGTTGTTATCTTTATTGTTCGGTATTATGTATTCTCCTATGAAAGCTTCTCCTTTGAAATAAAAAGGAGTAAATGAACTTTTTATTTAGTGTAGTTGTGATTATAACTTTAATAAGCTATGTTAAATGCTGATGCTCTTGAGCAAGTTCAGTGAATTTCAATGAATCTTCTACATAAGGATTTCTTAGTATATTATTGCCTAATAATCTCTTCAAATTCCCATTTTCTCTGATTTCTCTGTGATTATCCAGGACAGCCATTAATTTTCTACACTGTGTTCAGTCTTTCTAGTGGAAGTAAGACATGATGTCACTTTTCCTCTAAAAAGGTGTATTTTTCATGTATTCTAATTAGTGTACTTTTATATTCTCTCTTGAGCAGATAATTTCACACCCAACTTCATACAAAATGCACTTCAATTTGCTCAGCTACTCTGATTATATATCATTAGAGAAGTACCTCACCTACTGTGGCACAGATATAGGCAACTGAAAGAAAGATTGTTGACCTTATCACATGAGCCAGGCAAAGCCTCTCACTTCACCGCCAAACAGAGGGGCAGTGGAGCGAATCCACTGCCTCACACACCACTCCTTTGCAACAATGCTTCTTCCATCACATACAGGAAGTGTTGCCCAAGAGGCAAGGACCCGTGCTGGCTCCATTGGAGCCAACACAACATGTGGACACTCCCGGGTTGGGATGGAAGCATCATACAACACTTTCACTCCAGTTGTGGGTGGGTCCTTTACTGGTAGTCCAGTAACGTCATGGGATGTGCAGCATGCCCATCTGTCACTGGACTGTCTGATGAAGTCCTTACACTGGACAGCAAAATATTAGATTTGAAAGAGAACAATCAGAATTGAAAAGGAATTATATATTATATCCATGCAGTTACATTTTGCCTGGAGAGAGACAAAATGCGTCCTCACTAGAAGGAAGAAAAGTTAGAGAGAGAGAGCCAACAATAGAGGATGACCACATGGCTGAATTCCGGGGCAATAAGTTACCTTATGCCTCACAGAGGAGGAGATAGTGGCAAGCAAGAAGAGTAAAGATAAAGGCCCCTTCTGGGATAAACATGCATAGAAATGTGGGGGGAGGAGTCTTGCTACTCATTGAGAACTGGAGACTTGATGACACAAGAACTTATGCAGTTCAGGGATGAAACCCAACAGTTACAATTAGAGCCTGAATTGTTTTTATTGCTTTTGTGATGTCTTATACTGTTTAATGTTTTTTATCTATTATGTTTTATGCATACTGATTTGTTGGAAACCGCCTCGAGTCGCCAATTGGCTGAGAAAGGCGGTATACAAATACAGTAAATAATAAATAAATAAATAAATTTTATTGGGAATGTCAAATAAACAAACCTAAAACTAAACTACAAAGTATTGTGTTACATAATAATAGAAGCACGGACATTATATGCACAACATTGGAAGAAGGCAGACCTCATAATAATAGATGAAAGGAATGTTAAAAAAATTTAAATAGCAGAAATTCCTGAATTAGCAATGAAGATCAATGAAAAAGCACACAAAAAACTTTATCAAAGATTGAGAACCGTTCCTAAACTTTGTAAAACAAAGAGAGAGGGAAAAGTTTTCATAGAAAGCTTCATAATTTAAATGGTTAGAATCTTTGTAGGGAATTTCTAAATAATAACTATTAGGGTAGAAGGAAGAATAGAAAAACAATGGAATAGGAAAGAAGGACAGAACTGTATATGAATGTCTCCAAAACAAACCAGTGCTTCCCCAACATGTGCATATTATTTAGCTTTCTGAAGAAGATATTTAGTGAAACATGTTAAACTTCTCTTCTTTTGTGGCATGGGAATCTAATCATGACCTTTCCCCATCATTTCTGCCTGTCGTACTACCAAATGTTAAAAAAGTGATGCCTGGAAGTCTATTAGCTGCATCATACATTAAGGTCTTGCTGTCCACGGGGAAACATATCAGCTGGACCACAATTACCTGAAACTGCATATATGACCAAACCATTAGATTAGCGTACAATAGGTCCCAGCATATCATAGAGCTATGTTGGAGGAATTAGAGATTTTTCAGAAAGGTATCTTCTCTAGGCATTCTCTAGGTCATCCAATGTAACTCTAGTAATTTCTGAATAGGGCCTTCCATGGAATCTCTTGGCGTCTGTAGCCAACTCTTAGAGACAGTTTCCCCCTGTGTATGTGGGTAAGTGAAACCGTGGTTCTTGAATCTCACTGTACTTGTAATTGCATGCATAGATCACTGAACTTGAGTTAATAAGAGGCACTTCTTTATAGGTTTTATAGCCTATCAGGCTTTGCACATTTTTTTTCACAACCCATTGACAAAGAAAGCTTTTTTCTCTGCTAAACAGGACTTCTGTTTACTTTGTTTCAGAATAAATATGACTTCCTTTATGAAAAAGAATACATTTGCTGCTTGGAAGAATGGGTCAGCCCAGTTCACCAGAAGATCTATGCCACTTTTATTTTGGTCATTCTCTTCCTCCTCCCATTGATGCTAATGCTCTTGCTCTACACTAGGATTGCTTATGAGCTCTGGGTTAAGAAGAGAGTTGGAGATGCTTCTGTTCTGCAAGCCATTCATGGGAATGAGATGTCTAAAATATCGCGGTTCGTACTGTCAGGTTTTTTTATCTTTACAATTTGTTTTACTGGATTCTGTAAAACACACTTTTTCCTAGAATTCTTTTAGTCAGTGAGCAGATACAGACACACAGCACATTGCCTCCAGCTGTTCTGATCTAGCAGGCACAGTCAAGCCTAATTTCACAAGTGCTTTTCTGGCAATATAAATAAAATTAGTAAATGCCTATAACGAATAACAACACTCCACAAAGAATTGACTGCTCTTTAAAGTCTTCCAAAATCTGTTGTTTTAGGCAGCCAACACACTCTGCTTCAGTGATGGGGCAGCTGGCCAAAAGCTGTGGCACACAGATTGTCAGGGGCGCAGACTCAGTATGGCAGTTTAAAAGCCTGCAAAACGCTAGAGATTGTTTAATAGCTTTAAAATATTGTTTACATCTACACACAACTTCCTAATGTTATTCAGCAGGAGCAGTCCCAATTAATCTTCCATTGTCCCACTTTTTCAGTTGTCTTGAAATGTCTCCTCCTCTGACACTTTCCAATTGGTCCTTAGCTTACTTCCACAGCTGCAAACTGATTTCAAAGTACAGAAATGGTTTGCACTTAGTTAACTTGTGACCTCATCACACTACAGAATGAATCCACTTTAAATCCGGTTGCACCCTCCTGCAGAATTCTGGAGTTTGTAGTTTAGGGAGGAGCTTTTAACAGCCTCACTAAACTACAAACCTCAAAATTCTGCAGGAGGCAGCAACCAGATTTAAAGCGGATTCATTCTCTAGCGCAGGGGTCCACAAACTTTTTAAACAGAGGGCCAGGTCACAGTCCCTCAAACTGTTGGAGGGCCGGATTATAATTTGGAAAAAAAATGAATTCCTATGCACACTCCACATATCTTATTTGTAGTGCAAAATCGCTTAAAAATAATACAATAATTAAAATGAAGATCAATTTTAACAATTATAAATTTATTAGTATTTCAGTGTGAAGTGTAGGCCTGCTTTTGGCTAATGAGATAGGATTGTTGGTGTTGTGTGCTTTCAAGTTTTTTCAGACGTAGGTTGACCCTGAGCAAGGGCCAGGTAAATGAACTTGGAGGGCCATATCCGGCCCTCGGGCCTTAGTTTGAGGACCCCTGCTCTAGTGAGATGAGGTCCCATGGTAAAGAAGAGGAAGAATGAAATTTGTCCCCTCATGGTAGGCTAAGGCAATCACCATCAACCACCATGTTTCCCCTAAAATAAGATATACCCATAAAATAAGCACTGGTGTAATATAAGCCATACCCTGAAAATAAGACAAAGTGATAGGTTTGGCTATGTATCATACAAGGTTGGTTCCCCCTATCAGCTCCTGGTCATTCTGTGCATGCTGCCAGCTGAGGGAAAGGGGGAGACATGGAAAGAGAAAGTGAAGGTAAAAGTCTCCTCGGTGAAATGAGGAGCAGGATGCTCTGCTTTAGGTATTGTGTGTCCTCAGGAGAAAGAAGTAAAGCTGTGACAGCCATTTTACTCAGTATTGTAGGTCTCTCTTCCGCAGCACCAACTGGCAACAGTCTGTGGATCACTCTCACCACCTACAAACACCAGTAAAACTGCTGCTCCCTAGCACTGACCCGCAACAGTCTGTGTCTCTCTCTCACCCCACACAAACACTAGGGGATAGCTTCAGCAAGCACTCTGCTACTGAGTTCAGAGAACTCATCCCATAAATGCAGATCATTGTACCATACTTAATAAAAATAAGTCTCCCCCTGAAAATAAGCCATAGTGTGTCTTCTTGAGGAAAAATAAATATAAGATAGTGTCTTATTTTCTGGGAAACACGGTAGCTTGTATATCCTTTTGTGTTCATAACTTGTGCTCTTTAGACTCCAGCTTGATATGGGTTGGCCAGACACACCCTAGTTTTCATCCATGAAATGTTTAGAAGTATGACAGTATATTACTTTGTGGAAGCAGTGGAATCCCTTAGATATCTGCACAGGAATTGGTGTTTTTTAAACATGTTCACAAACTAGCTGGAATTATTAGACTTATTAGAGGGAGTGATAACATACTGTGATTATGACCTTCAAAAAGGATCTCAGCAAATTGAGAGAATGAGAAGTATGATGGGAAATTAGATTCAATCTGAACAAGTGTGAAGTTTTTACATTGAAAAATGCATGATCAAAAATCATACATGTTGCTAAAATTGACACAGTGCTATGAGCCTGCCTTATGTTGAATCAGGCCATTGTCTACAACTTCTTACTCAGCGACAACTGTCCATCTTCTCAGGGAAGGTCCTTCCCATGCCAAACTAGGACCTTCTATCTTCTTTCTGCTGAGGCTGTGTGCTTTATTGCTGGCCTTCCCAGGGCGGCTCAACCCATTACACAAAGTAAGCATTTGCAGTATAGTTGATTTTGCCCAGGGGCGCTCTTGAGGTGCTCTTGGGGGAAAATAGACCTTGACATATGTGAGTTGTAGTTATTGGGGTGTATAGTTCACCTACAATCAAAGAGCATTCTGAACTCCACCAATGATGGAATTCAACCAAATATGGCACACAGAACTTCCACGACAAACAGAAATATATATATCAGTGATTGGTGGGGGGCACCAAAATACTGTTTGCTTACCGTTGAAAATTACCTAGGGCCGCCTCTGGGTCTTCCCCAACACGTCATCTGTATTCCTCCATCCCCAGTTACTATGCTTATTCACACATTTGTGTAGAAATTCTCAGTACTGGCTTTCCTTCTCTTTCAGGAAGAAGAAGCGAGCAATCATCATGATGGTAACTGTTGTAGTATTGTTTGCCGTCTGCTGGGCTCCTTTTCACATAATGCACATGATGATAGAATACAGTGAGTAACTTGTTCTTTTGAAGTTAAATTGCATAAAGAGAGATTACTTGCGAAACTGTGTCTCTTAGGCAAATGCACACCCAAATGCTCATGAATTTTTCATCCATATGAAAATATGGATGAAAATATGTACGACCAGTCACCTGGGCTTTCAAAACAAAACTATTTACTAGGGAGAATAGTAGTAAAGAATAAAATCCAAATGAAAAATAGGTTTGTGTATATCTAATTGGACAACCCATTTTACACCTTTGTATGTAAATAATGTTATACTGTATGACAACATTCAGTTTTCCAGTACGATCTTGTAGTTTTGCTTCCTTTCTCCTCTCCATATTAGATCAGTAATTCCTTTATAGTTTTATTATTTGAATTTGCTTTGATTCCTGTACCTTTCAGTCCTGAATTACTATAATTTTCCAGTTAATTACTAAGTTTCATTGGGAGAGTGCACTGTAATTCAAGACTTAACAGTAAATAAAGAGATCATGACAGTTTAGTAATGGAATTATGACACCCTGGAAATGTAAATTATGGATTTGAATATGTTTTTACTCTTGCCGTCAATTTTAGGAGAAAAGTGCTTGGGTACCTTGTTGATGTATAGGCCATGTGATTGGTGATACTGATTGTAGAGGAGATTCCTCTACATACTTCTTCACTTCTTAGATGTTCTCAAGCCTAGATTAGCTCTTGGGTTCTAATATAATGTGCTTAGCATCTCTCTGGATGTGAGGTACTTGGATCCCATGCCTGGCATGAACCAAATGCCAAAATTTGTAACTAATCAGGGAGAGGAAGAGTGCGAATAAGACTAGTTCTTATGTGGGTTTCCAGCACTGTGGGGACCACCAGTGTCAGATTTACCAGCGTGCTTAAGCACATGGTCCTGTTGACCGGAGGGGGGCATCTCCCCCCCCCAAATTACAATGGATTTTGCTTATTTATTTATTTATTATTTATTTATTTACCTTACTTATATACCGCTGTTCTCAGCCCGAAGGCGACTCACAGCGGTTCACAACAAATACAAACAGCAAAAATTCAGTGCTACAGTATAGAAACAGTTAACAACCTAACACATTACACAATTAATAAACAGTTACTACAATACCCATTCACTGTCGTCTCGTCATCAAAAACATGTTCCAGATTCGTCATCCATTGTTCCATTCCAGTGTTCATTAACCAATCATTGCACTAATTATTCGAACGCCTGCTCAAACAGCCAGGTCTTCACTTTTTTGCGGAATACCATTAGAGATGGTGCTAGTCTAATGTCCGTAGGAAGGGCGTTCCACAGCCGAGGAGCCACCACCGAGAAGGCCCTATCTCTCGTCCCCGCCAGCCGAGCTTGAGAAGCAGGCGGGATCGAGAGCAGGGTCTCCCCGGAAGATCTCAAAGTCCTGGTGGGTTCATAGGCAGAGATGTGGTCGGATAGGTAGCTTGGGCCCGAACCATTTAGGGCTTTAAAGGCCAACGCCAGCACTTTGAATTCAGCCTGGTAGCAGATCGGTAGCCAGTGGAGTTGGCGCAACAGGGGGGTTGTATGCTCCCTGCGCTCCGCTCCTGTTAAAATCATGGCTGCCGAGCGTTGGACTAGTTGGAGCTTCCGAGCTGTCTTCAAAGGCAACCCCACGTAGAGAGCATTGCAGTAGTCTAAACGGGATGTAACCAGAGCGTGGACTACCGTGGCCAAGTCAGACTTCCCAAGGTACGGGCGCAGCTGGCGCACAAGCTTTAGCTGTGCAAATGCTCCCCTGGTCACCGCCGAAACCTGGGGTTCCAGGCTCAGCGATGAGTCCAGGGTCACACCCAAGCTGTGAACCTGCGTCTTCAGGGGGAGTGCGGCCCCATCCAACACAGGATGTAACCCTATGCCCTGTTCAGGCCTTGCGACTGACCAGGAGTACCTCTGTCTTGTCTGGATTCAATTTCAATTTGTTCGCCCTCATCCAGACCGTCACAGCGGCCAAGCACCGGTTCAGGACCTGGACAGCCTCCTTAGTAGCAGGTGGAAAGGAGTGACAGAGTTGGACATCATCCGCGTACAGATGACACCGTACCCCGAAACTCCGGATGATCTCCCCCAGCGGCTTCATGTAGATGTTAAACAACATGGGAGACAATATTGAGCCCTGAGGAACCCCACAAGACAATGGTTGTGGGGTTGAACAGGTGTCCCCCAACAACACCTTCTGAGATCGACCCTCTAGGAATGACCGGAGCCACTGCAGAACAGTACCTCCAAGATCCATCCCCGCGAGGCGTCCCAGAAGGATACCGTGGTCGACGGTATCGAAGGCCGCTGAGAGGTCCAGCAGCACCAACAGGGACACACTCCCCCTGTCGAGCTCCCGGCGCAGATCATCCACTAAGGCGACCAAGGCTTATGTGGTGCAATTCTAAATTTGAAGGCATTCTGTTTTGGAGCAATTCCAGGCATAATGATAGAGTTGATAGTCTATGGGAGTGTGACACAAATCAGGCAGGCCTACCTCTTTCAGGGCCCAAGGAAGGTGGCTCATGACTTAACTAGCATAATGTCTCTTTTGTCCTAAAACTAACACTAGGGATCACTGATGTCTTTTCACATAGTAATAATAATAATAATAATAATAATAATAATAATAATAATAATAATAATACTTTATTCTTGTATCCCGCTACTATCTCCCAGAAGGGACTTGGGGCAGCTTATACATGGCACAAGGTGCCCAAAAACAGAACATAAATAAAACACAGTATAAAATACAATAGACTAAAACATTTAAGCATATAAAGCAACAACTAAGACTCAATAAAACCGTGCCCATCAACCAATGGTGGTAAGCTGCTGTAAACATGGCCAGGCTTTAAACAATAGGACAAGGGAATGGGATAAGTCTAGAGCTGTAATGATGGAAAGAGGGCATGGGATGAAGTGCAAGGCTGCTTAACTATTGCACAGACAACTAGGGACTAGGCGTTTGCAAAAGCTTTTTTGAACAGCCAGGTCTCCACATCTCTACAGAAGGAGGACAGTGGAGGGGGGGGGTGATCTTCCTGGGGAGGGTATTCCAAAGCTGGGGGGCCACCACCGAGAAGGCCCTCTCCCTCATTCCCACTGTGACAGTGGTGGGACCAAGAGGAGGACCTCCCGGCCTTAGAGTTTGTGTTGATTCACAAGGGGGACGGGTGTGGTCATGAAGATAGGCAGAACCCGAAGATAGGCAGAATGAAGAACAGTAAAAAAATAGTATGTTATTTTCCATTTCATTTCTCTCTATGCCCATTTCTGAGTTAACTGAGCTAGGTTTGGACATAACTAGTGAGGCATAATGGAATTGTCCCAGCTGAGCGCTACCTTATGATCCTCCATAGCAACTGAGTACTTGGATCATATGTACCAGAGACACTAGCGCAATTAAATAATAAAAAAGATGGTGTGGTTATACTAACTAAATAGTAGCTGTTTTTAATTGTTTTTAAACTGTCTTCTTTGAAGTGTCAAATAGTTTAATAGGACTGTCGCATTTTAAAACATTATTCTTGTTTTAAGTTGTTTTCAGCTATTTACATTTGTTCTATCATCTGCTGTCCTGAGATCCTTGGGTTTTTAAGCAAACAAATATATAAATAGAAAATATTCAGGCATTAATCAGGAATCTATATCTAAACTAAGTTTCAGCACCTTAGGTAGTTGTTGAAAGCTTTCATGGCCAGAATCACTGGGTTGCTGGGAGTTTTCCAGGCTGTATGGCCATGTTCCAGAAGCATTCTCACCTGCCTTTCACCCACATATATGGTAGCCATTTTTTGGTAGTTCTTTTAAAGTTCACACTAAAAGGCAAAGTAGACTCACTGGCTCTTGATGTGGGAGCAAACAGCCACCATTGAGCTAATACAATTATCATAGTGATTTGATACTGCTCAATAAAAAGAACTCAACGTAGTTTAACACTAATTTAATAAAACAAATTGTAATGCCTCTGGTAGTGCAGCATGTTAAACTGCTGAGCTGCTGAACTTGGGCAGTTCGAATCTGGGGAACGAGGTGAGCTTCGCTTTTAGCCCCAGCTTCTGCCAACCTAGCAGTGTGAAAACATGCAAATGTGAGCAGATCAATAAGTTCTGCTTCTGCGGGAAAGCAGCGGTGCGCCATGCAGTCATGCTGGCCACATGACCTTGGAGGTGTATATGGACAACCCTGGCTCTTTGACTTAGAAATGGAGATGAGCACCTCCACCCTCCCATAGTCGGACATTGTAGACTATTGTCAAGGGGAAACCTTTACCTATTGTAATGAATCTAACAAAAGCCATTAACAAACATTACTGGAAATCTAAAGGTAACCAATAATGTTAATAATCAGGAAAGCAATCAAGAAAACACCTGGATAAATATGGTGAATTTTACTAGAAATATGAACCTTGGGAGTCCTCCTAATCTCAAGGGACATACCATTTCACAGTCCTCTCTGTAATTAGTTGTCTTTGTTAGGCCATGATATAGAAAACAGAGCTTAACCGCACCAGATAATTGGAAATTGGACAAGTCAATAACATCCCGAACATTTCTCAGTGTCTCATGGATAACTAGTGTATATCTTTCTATTCATTTATATATTGAGATTTTATATGTATGGCAAGAGACACACTGATATAGGATTCATTCCAACAGGCTGATGGATCCAGATGTTTTTTTAATAACTTTGGGGAAAATGCCTGTTGTTGCTACAGGTGATTTTGCTGAATCTGACTGACCTTTGGAATGAAAAAATGATCAGGATAATGAATACAATTTCTCCTTAGAGAATGGATCCAAATTAACTCTCAGTTTGCTAGGCTTGTTAGTGATGAAATGAGCAGGATGGCAAGTACAACAACAGTGTGGAGTGAGCATAATTGCAGAAAATCTAGAGCTCACTGGGATGTCTGGCACTGGGATGTCTGGCAATGCCAGCAGCGAAATATACTTTCCCCTTCATCACTTTTACATCTGCTCATACTTATCCACTCCAGTAGAGCAGTTTCAAAAAGGCAGAACCCTATTAAATTCTGGCCCATGAGAGCAGAATGTAGACCATTTGACAGATTGCAGTTAAAATGTGCATGACGTTTTGCAGATGAAATCCCTTTGATACATTCTCATTCAGATACTGTCGTTGGTGCTGGTTGGCCTATGCAAATCCAGCAACAATTAATGCTTTTCTATCTGGTTATAATAAGGATGTGGGATATGCAGGCTACTTGGCAGATGTGAGGTTGCAATGTGTGCATGGATCCTTGTCTTTCTTGGTTTATGGAAGCAGATGGTGAAGATTAAACAGCTGGGTAAAGGCATTGGTGAATGTATATTTGCAGCAAGGAAGGGTTGTACCTAATAACTATGACAATAATAAGGCTGATGCTAAAAAGAACCTTACTTTTTTGACTAGTTATTGGCTGGTCTCCAGTACTGGAGTGTGTGATGCCTTCTCAGTTTCATGGATTCTTGGAGGGAGTTGGGGTATTTAGATTAGGGTATCTCAAGATATCTAATGTGGAGGACTAACATCATTTTCCCAGTATACTAGGAACCAATAACATATTTGTGGCTGTTGACTATGATTTTTTTTATTTCATGGAAACTTGCCAGTGACCAGTTGTCAATTACTTGGGACTGACAGTGATCCATGGAAACTTGGCAGAGGCATGTTGTGCAGCACTGATCTGGTTCCATTTCATTATGGCTTCCAGCATGGTTATAGGATGGAAGCAGCATGCTGAGCCCTGAATAAAAAAGCGTTGAAGCTTAATCTAGACAAAGCAAGCTACTGATGGTCAGTGGAAAATCAGATCAAAAAATAGGATTTACCTGTGATGGATGGAGTCATGCTTCTCTGAAGAGTCAGATGTGTAGTTTGGGTGTATATCTGGTTTCATCCCTAAACCTGGATTCCAAGTCAGTATTTCAGTACACAATTGTAGCAATATGATTCCAGTTTAACTGCTACACTTGCTCTCTATTTTGAATTTTGTAGCTTGATGAGCGAAGAGAGCTCGTCTAAGGAATGTATAAAATTTTATTTAAGGAATATTTACTTTTGGAATAATGTACACTGAAATAAGTCTTGTATGACAAAAGTTTCTTAGTTGTCGGGATGTAGCAAATAAAATATTTTTTTAAAGTGAAGAGAGCTCTCTGATTAATATTTCTATCCCTGGTTATTTTGTAAATCTCATTATTTCATGGCAATTGAAGTGAAATCATAGTACTATAAAGGTGTAGTTCAATATAAATGGGTAGTTCAAAAGAAGTGTCAGAGTGTATTTGCACAGTTAGATCTAGCACACCAGTTACCTCTGCTCTTGGACATGTCTAATCTGGATGAATGACATATTTATTCCACAACTTACTCTATGTAGGGCTGCTGGTCTTCCAGTAAACTTCTATCAAAATGGCCACCACAGTCTCTCTGCGGAGAAACATATGGAGCAAGCTCTTGTTAAAATGGCCATAGCTGCTCAGCTACACCACAAATGATCAAAATGATAGGTGGACCATATTGTTCAGGTTCCTCTACATTACTGATGAATGCTGCTCAGACTGAAAAAAAATGAATATGAAGAAAGAGGCAAGGCTCCCTTTCTTTCTCTGATTTGTGCAAGAGAGGGTTAATGGGGTGGGAGCCTTTGCTTCTTGATGCTGCAGTTTGTGCTGGGTTCCTATTACTGCACTGATCTTATGGTGTGAAGACTGAGCCAAAGGACATCAACATTTATAGACTACATTGTTTATTCTGATTATCTATTAGATTGGGAAGTCTAGCTGCAACAAGGTATAACTGACAGACTTTCTCCAATGTTTCCTTTTCTCGGCCAAATTACGGTACTGCAAAAGTAGAGGTGATAGTTGGCAGGAGTCCATATCTTCAATTAAAATAAACAAACATCCAAGAAAGAAACTTCCACATCAAGTTCTGATTATAAAGCGTGTTACAGTAGTTCAACCAGGATGTAAGCAAGGCATGTACCACCATCCAGGTTCAGAGCCAAATCCAGAAGTACCCTCAGTCTGTAAACCTGTGTTTTCAGGGGGAGTGTTACCCCATCTAACATAAACTGAATCCCTATTCCCTATTCCCATATCTGCCTTTTGACTGATCAGGAACACCTCTGTCTTGCCTGGATTAAGCTTCAATTTGTTTGCCCAGAGTCCCTTCTGAGTTACCTCGGGGAGATAGGATAGTTTATAAATAATATATTATTATTATACTGACACAAAAACATAGTATGTCATAGCAAACAAGATATATATGCTGGAATTCGTATCACAAAATCACAAGCTGAACACTTCCTGAAGTGTCTAGGGACTGTGTGATGTATTTTCGAATGATGTGTGCATATCCAAGTAAGGTGGCCTTTTGCAGCTGGCAGTTCGTGATTTTGTCAATGTTTATTGTTTCCAAATGTTGGCTGAGATCTTTTGGCACAGCAACCAGTGTGCCAATGACCACTGGGTCCACCTGTACTGGTTTATGCCAGAGCCTTTGATTTTGAGGTTCTGATAATTATTATTATTATTTGCCCTCATTGAGTCCATTATAGCTGTCAGCACCAGTTTAGCACAGGAACTGCTTCCTTGGAATTAGGTGGAAAGGAGTAATAGAACTGAGTGTCAGCTGCCCTCCAAACTCTGGATGTCCTCTGCCAGTGATTTCATGTATATGTTAAACAGCATGGGGGACCAAATGGAACACTGAGGGATCCTGGACAATGGCCAGGGGTACAAACAGGAGCCTCCAGCACAACTTTCTGGGTATGGCCCTCCAGGAAGGAGCTGAGCCACTGAAGAACAGTGCCTTGAAGCCATATCTCAGAAAGGTGACTCAGAAGGATACGGTCAATGGTATCGAAAGGCACTGGAAGGTCCTGGAAAACCAACAGGAACATGCTCACCCTGTTCAGTTCACTGTATATGCCATGAACCAAGGTGACCAAAGCTGTCTCTGTCCCATAACTAGGCCTGGCAAATAGGTAGGAAGTCCTCCCAAGTTCAATGGTCCTTACTACTGTGTAAGTTATGTAATATTCTGTTCTAAATAAGGAGACCATGTTTATATCCTATACTTTTAAAAATATGATTGCCGCTATGAAATAGGGAAGCAACAAGGTTCCTTTTCATGGGGGACTCCATTGTGATGTCCTCTTTAATGTAGCCATCTAATGCTAAAGCAGGTGACTCCTCTCCTCTGCAAAACAACCATCTCCCTAGACACTGTTTTCTCTGGCTAGGAAGGTATTAGTGACACTGTTGGAACCTAAACTGGGAAAAATTGCATCTTATAAGTTAGCATGTGTCTTCCATGCAGGCAGTCCAAGGTTTGACCTTTGGCATATCCAGAACAAAGGATATAGAATAAATGACTTGGCAGATTTGTATTTAAATCATGTTAAAAACATTTTTTTACTGCACCCCTGCAAAAAAAAAGCAGAGTTATATATTTTATCTGACTTTGATTTGTGTTGTTTCAGTTTGAGCTATTTGCTATGCCAAAGAATCCAACATAAATTAATTAACTGAGTAACAGTTAATCCAGTATTTCACTTTCCAAATAAATATTTTATGCCTTTTAGTATATAGAATGAAACCAGTAGTTATTGTTGTTCAGCTTCTATATTTTGCATGGGTAATTGAAACAGAACACTGACTGAATAGTTGCATATGCTTAACAAAACACTTGCATGCTAGGAATGTGGAGGAATAAAGCTTACCTTTGTCATGTTAGTATTTAACATATATTTTCCTCTCTCCAGGTAGTCTTGAAAGCATGTACGATGATGTTACCATTAAGATGATGTTTGGTATCGTTCAGGTGATAGGATTTTCCAATTCCATTTGCAACCCCATCGTGTATGCCTTTATGAACGAAAACTTCAAGAAAAACTTTCTCTCTGCAGTTTGTTTTTGCATTATAAAACAAACTCTGTCCTCATCTAGACAGCGACGGGGAAATGTGGATATCATAATGACACAACACAAAGAAGATGCCTGTAGGAAAGATCCAGTCTCCGAGAAGAGCAGAAGAGAAGCATTTAGTGAAGGGAACATCGAAGTAAAGTTCTGTGAGCAGCCTTTTGCAAAAAGGAACTCCAAGAGGCACCTTGGATTTTTTGCATCTGAACATCATGCTTCATTGGAATCCTAATGGAATGGAGACTTTGTTGGATCCTTGTATTGTAACATATTCAAATAGTTATATCTTATACAAGGTTCAACCTGTCCAGAAGCCTAATTATAGGCTTTCTGTCTTATCAAACAATGGGACGTTCTATTCATTGAATTTCAGTTTAATGCACGTTTCCAGCTCAGGGTACTAATTTCAGAATCCATGAGTTTGGAGGGTACTTGCAAGAATTGGGTTGGGACTTGGTCCTCTGTAGCAGCAGACAGAGCCTATGAGCTCTTCTACACAGGCCTTAAAATTTGGAAGTTACAGAGTTAAAAGGCAGGGGGTGGCTTAAATGACACTAGCACTAAATCAGTGCTGATTTGCATTAATAGACAAAAAACATGGGTTCCTGATTCTGAACGGAAAATGTGTATATTCGCATCACTGTATTTCCCTGTAGTCATGCAAAACACATGGGTTTTTTCTCTTCTTCCTGTGGAGACTGATCCTGTGCACCTCCGTTTTTAAAAGCTCAAAACAGCTGATCAGTGGATTGGGCTGTCAAATGGACACACAAGTGGCTCAAGCAAATAGAACTCTCTGTAACTCTTTCTTTTAAACTTTATATCTTAAACAGAAGATGAATTAATAAGTGAGGGAAGAAACAGATATGGCAGAATGTTTTTTTAAAAACCTCTCTGTTATGCTCAGAACATAGTATGTGTATATGTGAATCTGCTTATATTTATGTTGAGTTATTCACATATGTGCATATATTATTCACATTTCGATCCACGGAACGATTGGAAGATGTGATCAAAAACATTATTTTAGTGATGAGACGCTGAGGACTTGTGTTGTATGGTTTTTATTGTTATATTGCCTTTATATGGTTTATATTATGTGTAATGTTTTAAACTGTATTTTATGTTGTTTGGGGACATTGACTGCCGACTGTAAACTGCCTCGAGTCACCTTTGGGCTGAGAGGGGTGGTATATAAATATGGTAAATAAATAAATAAATAAATAAATAAATAAATAAATAAATGGTCCAGCACATAACACAGTAATTTTTTAAAAAAAAAATCAGATGGATGTTCCCAGTCCACACTCTATCTTGTTCTAATACGGAAGAAGTCTGTGAGGATGGCGGAGGACCCAATCCCTAATCCCGGGACTAACAGATCTGTGTCAGGATCTGCAGTCAGGTCCTGGGATATTTAACCCCCTCCCCCCCATTTGAAACATGGATTTTGGCGCTGTCTGAAAGCACCCTAAATTAGTCAAGGATCAAAATGGCCTGTTCTTTCATCTCTTTGGCTTAGCACAATACGGATATTGATTTCTACTGCTGAGGTAATGAACATGAAATCGTCCTTCCCTTTTGCCTTGTCATTCCTTTTTTATCTGAGGACCCACACAGAATGACAGCTATTTCTCAAGATAATATCAAGACTTTGCTAGGCAAACTGTTTTTACAGTAGTTAACTTTGAATACACTTGGAGAGTTGGTTTCTTAATAGGTAGACATTTCCCAGTGATACTCATGCACATATTAAGCATAGACTACTGTAAATTACGTTAAACTAGTTCATATTTTACCTAAAGTCTAATTCTACAATTCCAGAATTTTCACTAGTGCTGTGTTCTGTGATGCTTGACTTCACGTTGTTTCTTTTTCTGGGTTTATCTGTCCAAAATCTGTTCTTGTATTGTTGAAAATTGATTAAAACTCTGCATGCAACATTCTTAAAGAAATCCTTCTTTTGCTTTTTATATGGACTATTCTCTTTAATTGGCCTGAAAAAATACAGACTTGCTTGCGCATTATAGTAATGTCAGATAATGTGCAGTGCTGACATTTACAACGAATAGGTGACGATTAATGCAGTACAAATACTGGATGACTTGATTATTTTTATACAAATTGTCCTTTCTCATATCTTGAAAATGAGAAGAGCTCACAAAGCACTCATGCTGCTCTCTACACTCGTCAGAGAAAGGAAGATGAGTAGAAAAGGGATTTCACGTGGCTTGCCTAAGGCTTAAAGGTACACAATAGCATACAACTTAGAATAATATTAAACTGAACACCTATTTTAGCAACTGGAACTAAACAGGAGAGAGAACAAAGCCTGATGCAAAAACATGAATGCACAACATAGAAGATCAAAAAGATCTCCTTCCCCTAAGGACAATGTGGGGCTTGCCGTAATTAATGTATGCTGGTTGATAGCCACTTGTGGTAGCCTTCCTCCCAGATCTTCGCCAGGTCCTCAGGTTCAGCCTTTTCCTTCATATCTTTGTTCCTCACTTAGGAATGAATAAGACAATCACTAAGGGATTCGCTAAGGAATGACTAAGACTAAGGGGCTGCAGTGGCACAGCAGGTTAAACCACTAAACTGCAGAACTTGTTGACCGGAAGGTCAGTGATTCAAATCCGCAGGACAGGGTGAGCTCCCACTGTTAGCCCCAGCTTCTGCCAACCTAGCAGTTAGAAAAAATGCAAATGTGGGTAATGGTGCTTCATGCAGTCATGCCAGCCTCGTGGCCTAGGAGGCATCTATGGACAACGCCAGCTCTTCGGCTTAGAAATGGAGATGAGCACCACAGTTTAACCTCCTTTTTAAAAAAAAGTTGGTGATGTCAGTAACAAGACTGCTTCATCAAAACCAAATGCTAGACAGGCTACACAGTGTTCATATTTAAGCCAACTTGATTTGTCTTCACTGAAAATGAACCCGAAGCTTCAACTGTGATCACATCTAAATTCTTATTGAGAAACCACAAATTTTGATTCAAGATTAACAAAATCAAACTTTGGCTATTAATGTGTGTTTAGGGTAGCACATTTACAGAGTCCCCAGTGGTGCAGTGAGTTAAGCCACTGAGCTGCTGCACATACTGACTGAAAGGTCAGTGGTTTGAATCCAGGGAGCGGGGTGAGTTTCCGCTGTAAGCCCTAGCTTCTGCCAACCTAGCAGCTCGAAAACATGCAAATGTGAGTAGATCAATAGGTACTGCTTTGACGGGAAGGTAATGGCTCTCCATGTAGTCATGCCGGCCACATGACCTTGGAGGCGTCAAAGTCTGGCTCTTTGGCTTAAAAATGGAGATGAGCATCACCCCCCAGAGTCGGACTTGACTAGACTTAATATGAAGGGAAAAGATTTACATTTTTAAGACAGTCACACATGCATTCACAATCTGAAATATTTCAGCATTCAGTCCTTTCAGTTCTGTTTTCAAGACTGTTTACCTTTATCAGGCTCCAGTGTGGTGCAAGTGAGATGGAAAAACCCAGGCCCTGATGAAAATGCTGTAGTAGTAGAGATAGTACTTTGGCCTGATTCATTTTAGTTTTTATCATTTTATGTCCTACTAAACAGTTGGATATTATCATTTCTTTTGGGTGATGACTATATCTCTAAGGCTTCTTGGTTTTCAAATAAACTAAAAAGCAACTTTCCCAGATCTGATTGCTTTAATCTTTCCAGTTGGCCAAGAACTTACTAGAAAGATTCAAACAGAGAAAATTAGCTCAGAAAACAGCAGGCAGGGTGATAGATGCATGGAGGACATTTTGCCAGTGCAATCTTTTCCATTAATCTCTCTCTTCCCCACCCCCAAGCTATGGTTTAAGCATTTATACTGAATTTCTAACAAAATGTCATGATTGCTTTCCAGTTTTTTAAAAATGTGCAGTCATTATCCTCCCTCTTCTCTGAAATTATGCCCAGCTTTCCATTTAATCCTTGATAGTGTTTATAGCATGGCTCTTTTGTTCAAATGGCAGTTGTGAAAATTCATTCTGTTTTTAAATGTATTTTTTCTTGTAAATACATTAAAAGTGAGAAATGAAAATCTAGTTTTATGCAGTTCTTATGCACACTTCTTTTTAAAATGACTTTTAAAAGTAGACTGGAACATACTTAGTCCTAATTTTTTTATATACTGGTTTTAAACCACTTCATTGGATGTGTTGCAATAGCAGATTCCCAGATTAGTTTAGTGTTTACACCTTATTTTATTTTTCTGGTTATTTAATATTTAATGTTTATTTTACTTAAGTGATATTTGCCTTGACTGTTCTAATGTAGCACAAATCCTATGTAAAATCATACTACGTATTTTTGACATTAATATTGAAATCTGAAATATATACAGAAAGGAATAGGGATAGCCAGCTCTCCAAGGTCGAAGCTCTGCATAGTGAGGAAATGAATATGCCAGCAATAAGCAAGGAGGCTGTGTGTCCTTTGCCTTAACAGGTTTCCATTATCTGTATAAATATCTGCATAATACAAATTCCTAATGTAAACACTGGCTACATAATTCAGTTAATGCCATTATCTGGGATCATACATTATTTTATTTATTTATTTATTTATTTATTTATTTCTGCTCCAGATTAGGGGCAGAAAGAGCATAGGAAAACAATACCCATCAATGTATTTCTATCAAATGAAATATTTGGTTTACAATCTGTTCTCAGTATGATATTTCTGAGTCAATACTCTATCCATCTGAATCAGACACTAAGGCTCTTTCTATACTGTATCCTGGGATCTGAGCCCAGATTACCAGCTTTGAACTGGATTATATGAGACTCCACTGTCCGAAAATCTGGGATCAGATCCTAGAATATAGGGTCATGACAAGACTGAGAAGTGGCAATGGTGAGTACCTCCCATAACTTGGAAAATCTGCTTGCTGGGCAACTAAATTGGGATGGAGTCCTAAAGTGAATTCCTTACTGTTTTCATTGTGACCACATTGCCCAGGCAATACTGCTCAGCTCTGCTAATTTGTGCTGCTCACAATACACTGTATTTTCTTTTAAGCTCAATTTCTGGAAATTATATATCATGTTCAGAGTTTTTCAAGGAATGAAATTGCAAGACTTCCACATATCGCTTGATGCTGAATGAGTGAGCACTTGATAAACCAATGTGTTTAGCACAGAACTAAGTCAGAGTGACATTTTCTATTACTGTGTCTTCAGAAAGCAATTGAAAGTGTCATTATGGTAGTGTTGGCTATTGTTAAATGAGTTTCCCCCCTGCCTTCAGAAGGTAATTCATGTAGAACTGAATTGCAGAGTTTAGAAACTAGAAATTAAATGTATACAGAGCAGAAACCATTGCTATAGTTATTACATCTTTACTTGGGTAGTTATACCTTGAAGCAATGTGACAGATTTATAGGAGTGGAATGGACTAAAAGGGAGATTTTTTTCTAGTCATGGAAAATTGATATGTACTATATGCCACTTGCCAGCAAATATGGAAAACACAAGAATGGCCATCAGACTGGAAAAAATCAACTTATATCCCCATACCAAAAAAGGGAAATGCGAAAGACTGCTCAAACTTCCGTACAGTGGCCCTTATTTCTCATGCCAGTAAGGTAATGCTCAAGATCCTTCAAGGAAGAATCCAGCAATACATGGAGCGAGAGTTGCCAGATGTTCAAGCTGGGTTCAGAAAAGGCAGAGGAACGAGAGACCAGATTGCCAATATCCGCTGGATAATGGAGAAAGGCAGGGAGTTTCAGAAAAACATCTACTTCTGCTTCACTGACTATTCTAAAGCCTTTGACTGTGTGGATCATAATAAATTGTGGCAAGTTCTTAGTGGGATGGGCATCCCAAGCCACCTTGTCTCTCTCCTGAGGAATCTGTACAAGGACCAAGTAGCAACAGTCAGAACTGACCACGGAACAACAGACTGGTTCAAGATTGGGAAAGGCGTACGGCAAGGCTCAATACTCTCACCCAACCTTTTTAACTTGTATGCAGAACACATCATGCGATGTGTGGGGCTTGAGGAATGCAAGGCTGGGTTGAAAATTGCTGGAAGAAACATTAACAACCTTAGATATGCAGATGACACCACTTTGATGGCCGAAAGCGAGGAGGAGCTGAGGAGCCTTCTAATCAAGGTGAAAGAAGAAAGTGAAAAAGCTGGGTTGCAGTTAAACATAAAAAAACCAAGATTATGGCAACAAGAATGATTGACAACTGGAAAATAGAGGGAGAAAATGTGGAGGCATGACAGACTTTGTATTTCTAGGTGCAAAGATTACTGCAGATGCAGACTGTGGCCAGGAAATCAGAAGACGCTTACTTCTTGGGAGGAGAGCAATGTCCAGTCTCGATAAAATAGTAAAGAGTCGAGACATCAGACTGGCAACAAAGATCCGCCTAGTCAAAGCCATGGTATTCCCTGTAGTCACTACGGATGTGAGAGCTGGACCTTAGGGAAGGCTGAGCGAAGGAAGATGATGCTTTTGAGCTGTGGTGTTGGAGGAAAGTTCTGAGAGTGCCTTGGACTGCGAGAAGATCCAACCAGTCCATCCTCCAGGAAATAAAGCCCGACTGCTCACTGGAGGGAAAGATACTAGAGACAAAGTTGAAGTACTTTGGCAACATCATGAGGAGACAGGAAAGCCTAGAGAAGACAATTATGCTGGGGAAAGTGGAAGGCAAAAGGAAGAGGGGCCGACCAAGGGCAAGATGGATGGATGGCATCCTTGAAGTGACTGGACTGACCTTGAAGGAGCTGGGGGTGGTGACGGCCGACAGGGAGCTCTGGCGTGGGCTGGTCCATGAGGTCACGAAGAGTCGGAGACGACTGAACGAATGAACAACAACATATGCTTGGATGAATGAACTTCAAGTAAACAGAGCAGCATTGCATTGGTTAAATCAAAGACATAAAATGGTTTGGTCGTTTAAATGTTGGCCTATGACTT